AAAGAGACAGAAAAACAACAAAGTCCTTCCTCATCACAGGAGGCATGCCACAATCAAGGCAGGCAGTGCTTTATCACTCCCCACCAGCATGCACCAGAAAAACAGGATCTCTAACGAATGATTGCTGAACTTTCCCAAGGTCACTTCAGTTACCACATTCTGCCTTTATAAAATGCAGATGTGATTGAAATTACTGTGGTACTGCAGGCTGTTGCATTATCAGGCCACTGTGAATTTCTTGGGGCAATAAAAGATGAAGTTAGGAGACATTTGTTCAGGATCAGCACCGAATCTACAACTGGTAGTGGTGCAAACCAGGTCAGAATCTGGCCACATAATTTTAACATCCTCTGGCATCATAAAGGCACTATCTGAGATGTTGGTCAACACCACTAACAATTTTTAAATGATAGAGAATCACTCAACTGCAGAGAACGGAAAATAGCTCTGAAAGCCAGTAAATTAGATCGACCCTTTTCATTCCCTCAGTGTAAGCCATCGTGGATGGAAACTCTACTTCAGTCGTGTTGACAAAAGTTTCGGAAGGACTTCGTTACCTCTGCCCTAATTCTGTGATTTACGCCTCCACTCCATTTTCAGACAGATGTGGTGGCTAGTCAGCCCATAATTTGGCATCATAGTGAATAAATGACTACTCAAAGGATGAAGGGCCTTGCACAGTCCCTCTTGCTGTGCACAGATCTAGCTTTCCTGAAAACATTTGTCCATTTAACAGCCTACATTAATTAAAATTGGGCTTGAGCAAATGACTTACTGGAGTGCTTCCTTGCCTCTGTAGATTTAAGCACTGATAAAACTGATAACTCCATAAAAGCTGTTTTCTGCTAATATTCTTCATAAATACATGGCAATAAAACCACCAGAATGATTCTAGTAGCCCGAAAAGCAAGGAGATAGAAAGTGAAGTCCAACAGTGATGAGATTAACAGGGGACTAAACCCACGTGATTTATGATTTTTCACTCCAAAATGGATTCAATGAATTGCAGCACAAAATTCCAGTTTCTCATGCCACAACAGCAAAGGGCTCACGAACTACCAGCTTAACGCATGACAGTTGGATCATTTGAGCACAGACATTTATCAAGATGAAGTTTCCCGGAGAGCCTAAGAACACAAAGAGATCTATCTCAAATGAAACTTTTAAACCAAATACTGCAACACATACCCACAGGGTATCATATTTTCTCACCTAGTAACTGGATTTTCCCCGAGCACCTAACTTTTGCCTTCAGAAAGAGTAAAGCTAACATACCGTTATGTGGATCTAACCTAACACTGTTGGTACCTGCCGCTTGCCAATAGTTCAGCCCCAGCTGCAGTTAACTGAGAATTTCCTCATATCAAGCAAAAAGACCAGATGCAACAAGGAACAGGAATGACTGTAATTAAGCATTGGAATTGAATAAAATTAGCCACTGGAAGGCCAACATTAGGTATACAAGGTGCCAGATGTAGTTGTTGTTTCTCATCTTTAACACAGAGGAGAGTTACATGCAAAGGGAAGGGGACAGCGGATTCACTCCTCCTCCTCCCCTGCCTCCAGACAGCAGAGAAAGAGGTGTTTCCAAAGGGTGTTCCACCCTTTGTAAGAGGTAGTGAGGCAGGACAACTTAGACTTTAGAGAAGCGCCTCTCTGTTGATAAATATAGGAGTAGTGTATATAGCAAGTTCAGAACAGGTATCCATCTCATATGGGCAATGTTGGATGAGCTGAGTCCCGTCCTCAGCAGAGAAAAGCAGTACCAAGGCTCTGAACTAATATTTTCATGACCCAAGTCCTTCAGGAGGAAAGGGACAAGGCATAAAGATAATCAATCTATAGGTCCATCTACAGTGTTAAAATAATTTTCCTTCTGCCAGTTTAAGAGCTTAGAGTCTCACACGTTTCAAGAGTGAGCTACTGAATAGCTGCTCACATCACACCATCAAATGCACTACTCCCTGTCAATCTTCAGTTACCCTTGCTCAGGGCAGTGATTTAGACCAGTGTGCAGGAAATTACTGCAGCACATGGATGAATCCCATTTCAACCAGTCAACCTGCTCAAGTGATTTCCTGAAGCTGGGCCTTAATCTTCTTTTTAATTTGATGGAGTGATAAGAGTATCTTTTATATCACAGTCATGTGTACAGGCCTTCACAGCAAGCCTTTGCTCATTGTTGCTGATGCAATGAGTGATGTCTGCATGTGAAAGAAAAATGGTGTGCTAATATTGTGCAAAAGAGAACAGAGCAGATGAATAGATATGTGTGAAACAGATGCATACAAACAGGCATGTGATACTAGATTGTCACAAGATGTGATAAATCAGGAGCTGCTCACGCTAGGTACATAAAAAGATTAGATGTCAGTGTTTGCTATCTAAAATAGGGGCCATGCATGCTCAATAAAACAGAGCTGGTCTGGGGCCCAGAGGACCTACAGGCTCAACCTGAGCTGGTGCAAAATGGAAAAAAGACAGAAGGGTGAGGGTTTGAGGTACAGGACCCCACCAGGAGCCTCTCTAGCCTCTAACCGTCACAGAAAGAGGTCGGTGGTGTGTGAGAGACTTGATCACCGAAAGCAACTATAAGAAACTTGACAAAGATCTGCTCTCCAAGGTTTAAGATCAAGCAGCTATGCTGCAAAGGAGACGCAGCCGAAAGTCACATGACAGGGAGTAGGCCTCTTTCACCTGTTTTCTATTTTAGCCTAGCACACTTGAATGCCCCCCAAAAGAAAAGACCCAGGCCCTGTCCCATCAGAAAGCCTGCTCTTTTCTTTCTGTACACAGCCCTGCATTATCCTCACACCACTAGGTGAAGAGATGCCTCTGAGAGGTCAATTTACTCTGGCAGGGGGTGGGGAGCCATGAATCTCTATTCTTCTGTGTTCAAGCTCAAAGAGAAACTAAGCTGTTGTGTGCACTAGCTCAGCCATGCACTCTACTGGAGAGTAAATAAGACCCCAGCCTTTAATCTGCACTGAAAGGAGATGGCATGCAGGGACTGCATCAGGCAACATACTCCAAAAACAATGCTGTTTGACTAACGTGCACTTCCAGACTAGTCCACGTACTCAGACGTGCATTGAGCACTCCTGACCTTCCTCAACAGCAACAGGCGATCCTGCAGAACGCAGGCTACTAATATTGCCATGAAATCCATGTCTCCCGCTTGCAGTTTTTACTGCCAGCTCACACAGGATGTTTTCATCTAGGCAAACATACCAGGACCGTGGGTTTCAGCAGAGGCTCCTGAACCCAAATTTGAGCCATTACAAGGCTGAAAATTTTCGGCATCTAGCAAAATAAACAAGGAAATACTGTAAAACAGAAGTTCTGTTTCTGTTCCTGACTTTTGATTTCTCATATAAAGCAAGACTGTAAGACTGAAAAAAACTATGTTCCTCTCTGAATTTCAACAAAATCCACGATTCCAACCTGATATGCAAATTTCCTTGACCTTCTCTTAGAGTCATGTAAAAAGAAACCCCCAAGCCCACTTAATTCTTTATGTCTGCTCTATTTTCCTGAGTAGAAAGATGGCACTTCCCATCTGTTCCAGAAACATGTCAGGACCTCATAATCTACAAGACAAGGAATCACTTGAAGTACATAGAAACAAACTGTTTGTTAGGAAATGTGATTTGGACTGCTGACCTCCAAGAAGTGGCGGGAACAGCTATAGCACATGATCATAACAGTGCAACACAAAATGGCACAAGCAATTCTAGACACTGGGGACATCATAAAGCAGGATGTTTATCTCTCACTGGGCTGGGAGTGCTCAGATGGGCTTTTGGTGCCAGAGACTCTATTGGTCACTGAAATAAGTATTTTTAAGAACATTTCAGCGGTACAAATCTTACAATTATTTAGAAATGTCCTGGAAATGCCCATGGAAATGATCATCTGCTATAATTCTTCTTAGACGGCATCCAAGAAACAAAATGATAAATTTCTATAACATGCCCCAGAGGGTGAACAGGACACTTGAGGTAACTGGATTAGAGTTACTGCCCTGTAAAGAAGGCATGGTA